TCCCCTTCCTTAACAGCTGTGCTCAGCTTGTCTAAACTCAGGCCTGTGGCTTCCTTCATGGAATGGATCCAACTCATAGTTGGTCTTCTTCTGCCTTCGACATTCCCTAGCATGCTTGTCTTCTCCAGTGAATCTTGCCTTTGCATGATGTGTTCAAAATATGACAGCCTCAGCTTTGCCGTTTTTGCTTCTAGCAAAAGCTCTGCCTTGGTTTGATCTAGGACCCACTTGTTCATCTTTATGCCATTCTAGGGCATTCACAAGGTCTCCTCCAACCCCATGTTCAAACACATCAATTTTCTTCCTGTTAGCTTTCTTTATTGTCCAGTCTTTATACATAGGGATTAGGAATGCACTAGTGTGAATAATCTTGGCCTTGGTCACAAGTGAAACATCCTCTCACTTGATTTTTTCTAGCTCCTTCATGACTGTAATTCCACGGTTTGATCTTCTAGGCTACAGTCTCCCTTGAACTAATGATTGAGCCAAGGTATGTAAGCTCTTTCACAATTTCAATTTCTTCAGTGTTGACAGTTAAATTTTGTAATTCTTCTGTGGTTATACATATGTTTTCTTAATAGTCAGATGCAGGCCTACACTTGCATTCTTCATTCACTTTTATCAGGAGTTGTTTCAAGTTGTTGCTGCTTTGTGCCAGTATTATGGTGTCATCTGCATCTCTTAAATTAAATTATTCCTTCTACCAATTTTCATTCCTTCTTCTGAGTCTAGGCCAGCTTTCCTTCTGATATGCTCCGCCCACAGTTTAAACTGACCTAACTCCAGTGGCTTCCTCCTGCCTTCCAAGCAGCTTTGATTTCACTTTCTAATATTGCAGGTTCTTCCTCATGTTACTTTGGATTCAACAATGCAAATCTGTTCTTAACATGGACCTTCAGTTCTTCAAGAATGTTATTTAAATTGTGTTTTGGCACTATGCTTCTATTTGTGATCCTATTCAAATTCTGATTTTTTTTATATTACTAGTTCACGGTCACAACTGCAATGTGCTTCTGGTCTTGTTTTACACTGATAATATGGCTTCTTCATTGGCTACTTCCAATTACATAATTTATTTGATTTCTAAATTTGCCATCTGTTGATGTCCGTGTGTACAAGCATATGTTTGGTTTTGTGAAGTATGTATTTGCAATAAACAGGTGGTTGGCTTCACAGAATTCTATGAGTCATTCCCCTGCTTCATTTTGACCCCAAGTTCTCCTACAACATTGGCTTTTGCTTTGTTTCCTATTTCTGTGTTCCAATCACCTATGATTATCAGCATGTCTTGTTTTGGTGTATAATCAATTTCGTCTTAGACACTTGCATAAAAGGTTTCAGTTTCTTCAGCATCTGTTATTGGAGCATAGACTTGAATGATGGTTATGTTGATGGGTTTTCTAAGAATTGTGATTGATTTTGAATTATAGCCTCTTACTGCCTGTGCTACAGTATTATGGACTCTCTGTTTCTTCTGAGCCTACCTTTTCTAGAGTGAAAACCTTGACTGAAAATGTCCCATTCCAGCCCCTTTAGTTGCCTCACAAGAAGTACTGTGATATTTAACCATTCCATTTCTTGCTTTATGGTTTCCAGTTTGCCGTGATTCATACTTTTCATGTTCCATGTTCTAGTTGTACGCTTTATGATGCATTGGACCTACATTTCACCAGAAAGCTACTAGACTCCCTTTAGGCTTTGATCTAGGTGTGCTATTCGTACTTGTCCTTTGGTCCACCCCAGTAGCTCATTGAGTGCCTTCCAACTGGGGGGTCTCATCTTCAGGCAGTATCACTAGTTTCATTTTGGATTGTTTCATCATGGGGTTTTCAAGGTAAGAAGATTCAGAAGTGGTTTATCATGGTCTCCTTCCAGTTACCTTGAGCATCACTGCTGTTGTCTGTGAAAGATAGTCTGCCAGTTTCCCCTTCAGCTACCACTGCTGCCCAGTAGTTGCCCTTCAGGAGTTTCTCTGCCCCCATTATCAGTAGAGACATTCTTTCTCTTCTGCTGATGTGAATGTTGCTCCTGCAGAGGGTGGGTGCACCTTAGTCTGCAGCCTCTTCTGTGGCTGTTCTGCCTTGGTGGCCCTGCTGGGAGACCAGCTGAGGGAGAGAACCTGGCTTCCTGGTAGCATTGCTCTCAGCTTGCATGACACTCTCGCTCCCACACATGACACCCTGTGGCCAAGAGGAGGCAAATAAGCATTTGATTGCATTTCTCCCACAGTAAGTAAATTTCACATTTCTACTGTGCTTTAGTGTATTTGAAGTGCATATATGCAATTACATTTATTACATTGATATCCCAGCCTTTTTCCTGCAAGTAACCCAAGGAAGCTTACACAGTCCTCTTCCTTCTCTCTCTTTTGCCCTCACAACAAACTTGTGAGGAGGTTAAGCTGAGAGTCTGTGACTAGGCCAAGACAACCATTAAGCTTAATGGCTGTGTAGGAACTAGAGCCTGTGGTAACCCTTAGGCTAGCCCTAGAAAATTAATGTTACTACCCCCATATAAAAAATCATGGGGGATGGCAGGAGATGAGGGTCAAAGAGTTGCCAAAGATCAGTCTCCTCAAGTCTGTGTTGGAATATAATTCACCTGGAGACAACTAAGTTAAAGGAGCCTGCCTGAGATAATTAGGGAGTTGCCAATTCCTTGCCCAGTTGTTTTGCATTACACTATTTCCATTAATGGCTTTTAGTGAAAGTCACAGACTATTTTAACCTCCTGATTTATAATGTGCAATGATCATGTGGGAAAGGAAGATGGAATCTGCTAATGCTAGGAGGAGACAATCTCTGCTTTTCCTCACCCCAGCAAGTTAGATGCGGATAACTTGCATGTGGGCAGGGAGGAAGGCAACTGCATGTAAGTTGGCTTGGGAGGGAGCAGAGCACATAAATAGCTAACTGGAGGATTAGAAGACAAAGCCTATTTGTGAAGGGAGTAGACAGGACTGCTGCCAGTGGGCAGAGGAGTGTAGGTTGATTACTGTGAGTTGAGTTTGGGACAGCCTTCCTAGGAGCTTCTTGTACTGTCTGATTATGAAGAGTCCTTGGATTGACCTGGTTTTTTGCTATTTATGGCAGCAATATGTAGGTGAGTCACTGACAGTGTTTTCCTAGGGCCCATTTTTGACAACAATCTTTGCTATTCAGTTGTTGGAGCATGTTCTTGAAAATTTCTCTGTGGGAATTTTTCCTTCTCTGAGAAGAAAGAAAGTTTTGGTGGTGCTTACATTCAAGTAAATAGTCTGGAATTCTCAAGTTCCCAGTTGTTCAGGAAACTCACCCAGGTGCCTGGTTTTCTCCTTCTGCTACAGTATTTTCTATACTTCCCAAGGACAACTAGAAAGCAAGAGGGCAACTTTGTGTTCACTTCAGTTCCCTTTGGTATATGTTTAGTATATGTCTTGTCTAGGGACTTGCACCCTTTTTGCATTCCTGTGTGGCCCTATGTGCTTCATTCAGCACAGACTCCAAAGCAAGTACGATAAGGGTTTCCCTATTGCATCATTTTCTCTTAGCCTTGGTAACCTTGGATGCTGAACTTAACTTGGAGAAACTGAAGGTGCTGGCTGGAGTGTGTTGAGAGTCACAGAATATTTTGTCTAAACATGTAAACATTATACTCCAAGAAAGGTGTATAACATTTACATGCCCATAGACAGTGCCTGGCGCCCATAGAAAGTACATGGTTTATCCCACTATACTGAATTTGGTTCCATTTATTTTTCAGTACACATGCATAGAATGGCAGTACAAATATGTAAATTATTCTTCCTTCCATATGATAAGTTAACACATTTGTACAGTTGAATGTTGATACTTGGAAGTTTTGCATCAATAACATTTGCTGGCCACTTCTAACACTGTAACACTCATGGTGTAAATACCTGCCTTATTCAGTCAAGTACCACAAGACTTAGCAGTAGCATGAGCTGCTGCAATATTTTCTGATGGTGACCATGTCTTTCATTTTAGTACTAAATGTGCTAGTCACTGGGGGAAAGAGAGATGTATGACTCCCTCTGCTACTGAGTGTGTGTTTAAGAGCCCTTTAAGAGCTTGCTCTGAGTATACCTGTGTAGCATTGGAGTACAGGTGATGGCATTTGCTGTGATGAATAGCAAAATGAATTGATGAGCAAAGATGCTTCTGTGTAGCAACTCTGAAACCTTAAAAGTCCAGGAACAGTGCTATAGAAGACACATGACATAGGTCTTGCAGGACTAATATCACTGACTTCTGTGGCTTATGATGAGGTGAGCTGCTTTTTGGTAGTAACAGGACAATGATTCTGCCTTCCATGGTAAGGACAAGATTTGTAGTAGGGGGCTCTATATTACAGCTGAGCTTTTATGTTCTAATAAATTGTACCATCAGTATTGTGCCTGTTGGTGGCTCACTGTATGAACAGAGATGCACAGGTCTTCAACTAGTGAGTCAAAATCTGAGTCAAAAGCAATCCTAGCCTGATTTAACACAGATCACAGCAGCATTACTACAGTATAGACCTACAGGAAAAAATGTAATGACTCTCCAAATGCATGTTTGAGCTAAAGGTCAGAATGAATTGAACACTACTTGGCTGAGAGCAATGATTTTCTACTTAGCCAATAACCTGCTAAGTTGGTGCCAATCTATGGGACAAGCTGTTGCTTTCTGGGGATTACCTGTGCAAAGGCAAATGTTGTAGACATGCCTTCAAGTAACTTGTTAGGATCTCCCCAGTCTTTTGAAACTATCATTTTTATTTCATTGGTCCCATAACTATACTGTCCAGCAGCCAAAACGCTCTGGGTGATTTACAAAAAATTAAACCCTTAAATTACAATACCCATGCATACAAACATATAAATGTGCACATATTTCTAAAAACAATTTTAAACTGTCACCTAGAAAAAAAAAATTAAGACCTGACTTAACCCCCTATCCTGTGCTATCTGAGAAAAGCAGGCCTTGACCTGGTGTTAAAAAGAAAATGGTGCTGGTACAATGTGGACCTTGTTGGGAGATTATTCCATAACAGGTATGAGGGCACTGCCGAGAAGGCCCTCTTCCATGTTGCCACCTACTGAGCCTCTCTCATCTTTGTTTCTGTTCTTCCTGTTCTGATCTGTAGTGTACATTCCCCCTTCTAGAGAAAATTTGCATCTGGGACTGACCAGATGCAAAGGCACCTGCTGCAATAGCTGCTAACTAACAGGTGCAACTTCTACCATGCGAAGTTGAGAGAAGCTGCACCTGTCAAAATTCATTTTCTACATGGACACAGAGGATACCAGATGCCCCATGGCCTTGGGGCCCCTGACTATGTCAGTGTGTACTAAAAATGTTTGGGAAAAGATTTTCCTCTTGCCAACTACCCCCCCCCCCCCCAAACACACACACACACTACATTTGCAGAATTTGGAGATCTGGCTCTAGAGAAAGGGGATAGCTAGGAAAAGAAGAATCCCATGAGTCATTGGCATCTTGCTCTTGCACCAGAAGTCCAACTGCTTGTTAGGGGCAGAGAACAACTGCCTCCTCCATCTGTTCTAAACTCATGAGAAAGGGTTCCTTTTCCTCCCTCTCTTCTAGCTCAGATGCTGAGGCCACAACTTGCAGACTCCAGATTTTGTCACAAGCAATCCCACCCTCACCACAGTGGCTTTACCTTTCTGTGTGTTTGATAGCCTGATGTCAAAAGGGGCATCCTATGAAGTCTATGTCATGGCCAACTCTGCTAAGTGGCTCTTTCTCCCACAGTTTAATGCAGCATCCCCCAATCTGGTGCCCTCCAAATGTGTTCGGCTACAACTCCTAGTATCTCCAGATAATCATATTGGTTGGGGATGTTGGGAGTTGTAATCCAACACATCCGGAAGGCACCAGGTTGAGGACGCCAGGGTTAATGTAGGGAGCATCCTTTGCAGAGGCTGCCAATTCTTAGTATCTACTTCTGGTTTTTCACAGAATTGAGATCTGAGTACTGAATTCCCTGCTCTAAAAGCAATTTGCCAAAAACAGAAGCAAAACTAGAGCGTCAGAACATCACCTAAAAACTCATAAAGCAGTGAGGGTAGGGCATGTTATCCCTAATAAATAAATGCCTTTTGTAGAAAAGTGTGTCTTTATTTTTTAAAAATCTGTCTCTTACAAGCAAACACCCAGCAATTCAAAGAAAAAGAAGTATGACCAATTCATTATTGATAGAGTCCTAGTGAAAATATGCATGTCTGAACTCTGAGTTAATCTGCCAGCATATGCTGTATTTGCTTAGGGGACAAAGTTGCCAGAAATGGGTTTTTAGAAGGGAGTAATTTTTCCTTTTTTTCACCCCATTCTGATTCCCTGTTACAATGTTGGGAAGCATCAGCCCTGTGCATTAGAACACCAGTGTTGTGAACTTCTGTGTTCTTACCCAGAGCAACCAGGAATCTTAAAGAGACAGTTCCATTCACATTCATATGCTGCTTCAAATATTGGGATGCAAAGGAAGTCTTAGAGAAGCTACACCTGCCAGATTGAATTATCTTTTGCTTCCACCCCTAACATACACTAATCCACTTGTAGCACATCTTCAGATATCATTACAATTCTGTTCTTTGTTTCTTCTTGCAACACCAGAAGATGTCATGAAAGCAACCCTACTAGAATGTTTCTGTGTAGCACACCAACCTTCTCTGACCCAAGTTCCTCTAGATGCATTGGATTACAGCTCCCGTTAATCTAGCCAGCACAGCCAGTTGTTGGGAATGATGGGAGTCTGTTTGTTCATATTTGTACCCTGCCTTTCTACCATGATACATTTATTTATTTATTTATTTATTTATTTATTTATTTATT